CACTAGGTGCATTTATCAATGTAACAGTCGGGTGCATCTAATCGAACAAGTGTAAGAGTCATTAATATGCCAACAGTCGTGCACTAAGATGACCACACATTAGCTACATACGGGTTCGTTTATCACAGAGTTCCACCACGTATTCAGACCAACAACAGTGCTATACTCATACTGCGCCGCCTCATTCGTGTGTCTTTTTGGGGATGAATGCGTAGTCTACGGGCGTGAATGTTTGAGACGGCAATAGATGCGATTGTATCGTGTGGTCGCGCCGTCTGACTCCTGTGCTATACCTGGTGTAGTAGGCAAGATAGATGGTACAGCATTTGTATTTGTTATCTCGATTCACCCTTTTCAATATATCACTGTTCATGTGCACTTATCATCACCATACGTTACGTATCATACCGTTGTATATATGCCACGTTATCGAGTGAGCTTCTAAACCAAGTCTTATGAAATTTGTGAAATAAATGACAAGAACCTTAAATTGCCCTACTTATTTGCTTTTTGTTGCTCACTAATTGATATCTTAATGGAAATGCCACCTGGCCCCACGTATAATCGTTGAATGTGTAATAGGCACAACAGATACGTCACTCTACTGACACAGCATTGGTATACGTCACTCACTGCTCATCGTTGGCAGGTACTTCTCAGACTCGTCGAAGACAGTCACCGTGCCAGCAATCATACGAAGCGTCGATCTTGGATGCTGGTCGTCCGGCAGGTAGTGTGTTCTTACGTTGTATGCTGGTGCTGACTGGGCGGCTACTATGTAGAAGGCAGGCCCGCCGAGGCTCCGAGCGACTCGTCCAGGAGAGCGTCGAAGTCAAGCTCTCGCTGTAGTATTCGTTGTCTTGTGCGTAGATCGTTAGTCTCGCTGTGGCGATGGTGTACATCGCGCAGCAGATTTAGTTTGACCGCGTAGTTATACGGTGTGATGGTTGATTTCTACGAGTTGACAGAGTTAGCCGGTGGTCAGCTGAGATGTTAATGATGGTTCGGATGGCTATGACTCGTGCAACGTAGATGTAGTGGGTTAAACCGAATTTAGTCACGCAGATTATGTTGATCAGCCCTACGTCCGAGATTAAGTGACGTGCTTTACTGCCACAGAATTGAAAGTGAGAGTGAAGCGGACTGGTGCGCCTCGACGTAGAGCTGTCCGTTCTGGAGAGCGGCACTTCCGTGCGATTAAGCATCTCTTAATTATGTTAACATCGGGTGAAATTATGCAACCCGTTAATAACACTGTGTTTTTGTTGACATCTCACAGGTTGCACCCTTTCAGCGAAAAACACGCCATGAAGCGACATCAGTACTAAAGAGTTTGGCAAAACGATCAGCTCCGAGATACCTATAGGTGGAGAAGCCGCCTCCAGAGGTGACCTGGCAATCAATGGGCAGACAGTTATCCCTTCACTGAGAACGTCACTAAAACTACCGACAACGTAAAATCTTAATTAACAATTCACTGTCAGACTAGTTTATTCAATCCCAGATTAGTTACTCCGTTAACACAAATGGTATTCATGATAGCACATACTACAATTTCGTGAGCCGTAAAAATCAAGTGTTTTAGTTTAGCTTCTATGAATGCTATTTTAGTAAGAAGATATTTAGTCCTTTTACATTGTGATTTATTGCATGTGTTTGTTCATAATTCGATTTTTTGTTAGGTGGATTTTATCGCAGCTATACATGCGAGTTATCACACTGTGTAACATTTCTGTGACGGGTCGTATGTATATGCCCAGCACTATAAGTCGCGTGATGCTGTAATTGTATTCGTACATAGAGTCCTATTTTGTATACACGCCTCAGAAAGTCAGTATCGCAAATTCGCGCTATACGAGAATTTCAGCTCGGATAGAGGACAATATGACTTCAGTTCGTATGAGCGTTGTAATATGTCAGATATGCTTTTCTCAGCTCATGCGCGATCGAATCTATTGGCATCAAGATTGAATTTTCCTGCTCGCGATTAGCTACGCATTCGGAATATGAAATGTCAGGAGTTTAAACAGCATTCTTATTAATTAACTAATTAATTAACTTAATAAACTTTTTAAACGAACACCATGTGTCTTTACTACTCTATCAGCAGTGGGATTTGTATTCGAATTTCATTTTCTCGTTGCGTAATGCGGCTCTTGAATATTACGGATATCATGTTTATAGAGGCGTCTACCTCCACCGATAGAGAGCGCGCGACCCACCGCGCGTCGCAGCCACACCTACATCTAATGAGCGCGCGGCTGTGTATAAACAAACACGTAAAGATGGTTAGACACACACGACCACGTGATGAGTTATAGACATGTCGCCGAAACTCCTCAGCGCCATTGAACACTCGACTGTCGATTGTACTACAAGCCAGTCGGGGACGGGCAAAAGAGAAGCGAATCAATCAAGCGTCCGCTGATACACATCACAATAAGAACCGACTGGCAAGTTCTCGTGCGTCTGCTCTAAGCAGCTATCAACTTCCTCGCTTATCGAAGGAAACCGATAATAGAAACCCCGGCAGCTCCGAATCATTCGATTCGTTGGGGTGAAGTCGACTCGATCAATGCAGTAATCAAATAATTCGAGCTGAATCGAATCGATCTCGATGCGTGAATCGAATTTCGATGCATCGAACTCATTCGGGATCGCGCATCAATCATTTCGATTCAACGCATCGACATTCATGCATCAATATGCGCGCGAAAAACGTGAAATCCGAAAAACATGAAAGGGTAATTGTGAACCGAGCATGTCTCGCGTGAGAAACACGAAGCATCGGAAATAATGTTCTGCGAAATGGCACTTTGCGGTGAATACAAGGGACCGATAATGGAAGTTAGAATCAAATTCACGTGCCATCATTTATTGGAGACGCTTGAGACACAAATTCGGCTACTTCGAATTTCAGACATTGGACCGATTAGCGGCATCAGATACGGCGGCATATAGAAAGCAGAACGCTCGATTTATCAAGTTGAAATTTTTCGGCGCTATTTTTTTTTTGTCCGATTTAATATTGCAAACAGGAGAGTTTTTCCTGCTTTCAGGCGGTTCTAATTCGTAAGGGAAAACCGATTAGACTGAATTTTAGCAGAAAACTGACGTCAATTGGCACCATAAGTCTTCTTGGGTTTATCAATTGTTTGCGGTAAAGTTCTGACAACAAATAATGACTGTATTTTGACACCGACCCAGCCATTAAAGTACTGTTATTAACAACTCTCCAAAAGTAGTTTAACTTAACTACTTTTATTAGTTACTCTCAGTCATTAACAAATGGTCCTAGGGTCATGTCGCAGTGTCGGTCAAGAGGTCTAGTGAGTCAGGCTGGCCAAGTTGCGTCATCGCAGGCTCGTGAAGCGTCATCAAGCATATCACCCATCGTGCCTCGTCCTCTAATCGTTTTCCGAATTACGCACTTTCGTTTGAGTGTCATTAGCCAGCCGGGGTTAAAGGTTCAAAGCGTCAAGGTCAGTCGAAGGTCATGGTAATAGCTCACTGTGACTTTGTCATGAATTGTCCGAGTTCACCGTCGATGTTTGCGATCGGTCAAGCGTCACTTATCTGCGTCTCCTTCGTCGCGGATACGTCGGTCCAGCTGCATTCCATTACGAGCGGATGATCGCGTTAATCTCATCCGTCATCCGCATAGCACCAGGTATTGTCTGTTCTCCTGAGATGTCCTTCAGGCTTCCTGCCTGCCAGCGGAATGCGGGATGGGAGCGGAACATGAACGTAGAATGCTTGATAACGTGACTGACGAAGCGGTTTCGATGGCTGTAACATTACGGTAAAAGTGAAGTCCTCGAATGTATTGCGGATTGCGGTAATCGCGCACAGTTGCGAAGTTCGAGTCTGTTAAGCACTGACAGTGAAGGGGGATGATGGAGGCTGTCGAATCAATTTCAGGGCGCGATATGACGTTGCACAATTGTGGAAAGTCGTGTACATTCGGGACGTGGTAAGGGCGCGTAGTCTGTGACATGAATAAAGTGCTGGATTTTTCGAGTTACGGCAGGTCCGGAATTCACGATTCACGTGGTGGTGAGGTTGAAGACGGTGTAGCTGTATGAGGTGAGAGGCTGCGTAGTTGTGACTGTTTGCGAAGACGTGGTAGTTGTGTTGACTGAATATTTATTTTTGGTGATGCGGATAGTGTGGATGTGTCCGAAGGGTATTAGTTGAGGATGGCTGTGACGGTGGTTGAAAAGGTGCGTAGGTAGTGTGATAGTGAAGGGTATGATCGATGGGTTCAGTGATGAGGTGAAGGGTAGGTAGTGGTTTGGACAACTCGAGATTCTGATTGATGAGTGGTAGCGTGTGATGTGAAGTGATTGCGGTTGTTGGGCGTGGCTAAGATCCGTGCTGACGTGAAAGAGGGGTTTGGTCTCAGAGGTCGATGACGAGGAACGCTGGCGAGTCACGCAGGTTGAATGCGGTAGGTAGTGATTGTGAAGCCTGACTGCACGGATAGTGTAGATGTGTACGAAATACGACGGGGGTTGGTAAGCTGGTGACGTGAAGGGGTGGTAGTCGAGTGTGATGTGAATGAGGTGGTAGTGTGGAGGTTGAGCGGATAGTAGTGGACGTGAAGGGTGTTGCAAGTCGGGATGTGATGGAGTTGAGAGGGTGCGTAAGTGTGAATGTGGGCAAGGGTGGTAGTGTGAGGTGAAGGGTGGTAGTGTGAGGTGAAGGGTGGTAGTGTGACGTGAAGGGTGGTGCGAACTTCGAATTGAGGCATGGCTGTAGTGTGGACCGTGAAGGGTGGTTAGTGTGAGGGGGGAAGGGGTAGTAGTGTGACATGTTTGAATAAGGGGTGTAGTGTGATTTGAAAGTCGGATTGGTAGTGTGAGGTGAAGCGGCCAATAGACGATAAGAGTTTGTTAGAGTTGTATTGCTGACGTAACGCGAAGGGGGATAGCATGACAACAAGGGGGATGACGTGACATTGAGGGTGATAACGTGAGCAATAGTTCGCGGTATAACCCACGTGTGAGAGTCCACTAGATGATTCGAGTACGCCAGATAGACGAATGATGCATCATCGTAACAGATGATCCGCAATACTATCTCACGCTGCGAATGTATTGCGATTCACGCATCGACATGCATGCATCGAATCATTCGATTTCAGACGCATCAGAATGAATTTGATCGAATTATGAAACCAGAATTAACACACCATACCTGATTATTGCTACGTATTATTTGATTTTTTTTTCTTGCGAGGTCTTGCCGTGCGAACCACTTTGTCAGCGAGAGATAATACAGAGGGCGAAAGAAGTGTTGTATGTCGTACTAGTGATGGCAGGGTAGTGGTGGGGGAACTCTAGCATGACACTTACAGTGAAGAACGATTCTTGAACGGAAAAGGTCACAGCGCTAAAGTCGACCGTTTTGGGTGAGACAGAATGATATTAGCTATTGTAGCATTTGATCTTAGTTATGCCACCTCGTTTCGATAGGGTACTCATGTAATGCGATGGAAAACGTTAGATAGAGTAAGTCACGTATGAGTATTAATTAGTAAGAATAGATCTCCCAGATTTCCTTATTACTGTCACATTCTTCTCGTAATATGCATTGCGTTAATCGACTGTGCAGCTGAGCGTGACAGATAGATAGTGTGTTGAACTGAAATTGTGCCGATTAAACTAGGACACTCGCGACTGTATTCACAGCTTGCTAGGCAAACCTTCGAAAAGCTCATTAGAGACTCAGGAGAAACGAACATCGCGATAGGACCTACGCGACTTTTACTCTCACTGAGATCATGACTATTGTCATTTGCAATATTTTGTTCGAGACCACCAACAGAAAGCTGAGATCATCAATGGTCTGCCTGGCGCATGTGAAGTAATTTTTAATCAAAAAAGTACCTCACTTGTACCGCAACAGCAATCGTGATTTAAGAAGCGTTAGTGACGTTACGCCACTCCTGCAACATAGCTGGGCCGCGGCGTCGGGGATACGAACGAGACAAGTATCGAGTTCAAGTTCAAGAGTTCAGTGGCCTAGCTCGGCTGCATGTACACACAAGATTAACTACTGGTCTAGCTTGACCGATGTAGCAGCAACGTCCAAGTGGGGGGGGGGGAGTGGTCATCTGGCTCATACTGATAACTCATAATCTATAATGTAATATTTCTATGCCAACATTCCGCAGGGGGAAGCAGAAGGAGTGTGTCGTAGGCGGAGTGGGGGAATAAGTTATTGATTGGAGAAGCACTTGGAGTTGTTGTGCGTTATTGAGAGGATCATTGCTTCGGTGAGGCGATGAAGGTTATTGGAGTAGGTAGAAGGTTATTGTTGTGGTTGAAAATTCATTGTTGGTGGGTTGAAAGGTTATTGTTAGTAGGGTAGAAGGTTATTGTTGGTGGGTTGAAAATTTATTGTTGGTGGGTTGGAAGGTTACTGTTGTTGGGGGGGGGGCACGTAAGAGGGCGTCGGTATGTGGTTGACTGATATAATGTTATGTATGTTTCCGGTAACTGAAATTCGCCGTAATATCTTTTACGTTAATCATCTTTGTTTGTCGCCACAATACTGTTTTATTATATTTCCATAGAGATATCACTGCTTTACGTGTATATACGCACAGGCATATGTATACATAGTCCTGTTTTTATTCATCAAAACATAAACATAATTAAATCATATTTCTAACTGCCATGTTTTCGCACAGGTTACAAAGTTGACACCTAAAGCTGAATACAACTTCAGAGTGAAGGCAGTCAACAGGATAGGCGAATCTGATGCTTTGCAGACCAGGCAGGCAACCATAGCCAAGAATCCATTCGGTAAGAACAAAAAGAACGAGGAGGCGAGATGCATGGAGAGGATGAACAAAGAAGTTAGAGGCGGGGTGGTAGTAAAAGCGAAAGCGGGCGATGAAATGGGTGCTCCCGCGATGAAGAACTAGACCGGAAGAGTGAAGAAGAAAAATCGAAAACGAGAAATATATATAAGCGAAAGAGAGAGAGAGAGAGAGAGAGAGAGAGAGAGAGGGAGAGAGAGAGCGAGAGAGACAGATGGTTAAAGTGATTGCGAGATTGCGAAACGCTGAATAAGCATGAGAGTGAAAGAGAAATGGAAACAATGGGGTAACGCGTAGATAGCGATAGGGTAAGAAAGAAAGATGGAGGGGGAAGGGAGTCAGTGATTGCGAAAAAGTGGTAATAGACGTGTTTGATCATGCATAGATAATTAAAACGGTAATGGCATAACTAGTAACTAACGTTGATTGGTAAATCGCTATAGGTATCTGTATTTTGCTTATGTAGTCCGTGTATATTACGTGTGTACGTCAGTAAACGAATCCGTGTGATTCTAGACGAGCCAGATAAACCGAGCGCACCCGAAGTCGTTGACTGGGATGTGGACTTCGTCAAACTCAGCTGGAAACCACCTACACGAGATGGTGGCTCGCCTATCGTAGGCTACGTCATCGTTCGGAAGGACAAGTACAGGTAGTTATAATTTACTTTTATTAGTAGTATTTATTATAATATATATATATTTTATATTTTATTATGGTAGTTATTTTTTAGTATAGTAAAACACGATATAGCTAGGGCGTTTCTACGCCGTTATTCTTCTTGCTATAATGGACTGAAACTGAGAATATTCTGTCTTCAGTATCGGATGGACTAAAGTCACAGAGGTGCCAGCACCTGAGACAATGGCGACCATCAGCCACCTGAAAGACAACATGGAGTATCAATTCAGGATAATCGCTGTCAACAAGGCTGGGCCAAGCGAGCCTAGTGACCCATCGCGCCAGATCAGCTGCAAGTCTCGATATGGTAGGTGTAGTCACGGTCGCATAGTCTTAATATATACAATAATCCCTTTATAGATCAGAATTGAAAACTGTAAACGGTTATATGTTGTGTCTAAGACAGGCAGTAGACAAATCCATTTTTAACGGTTCTCGTGTGGGTGAACTTTGCCGACAGCGTGACCTCCTTGCCGACCTTGACACGCACGTCGCTCAGGCTCTTGACCTCGATTTTCGGCGCGACTAGAGAGACGTTAACATGAAGTTATGCGACAGTCAACAGAGTTACGCATGAATATATATATATGTATATATAAGGTGAAAAAACAACGACCGTAATTACTAGTGATTAACGTGTATCATCTTTGATCTCAATTGATATGTAAACAACTGCAGGCGAGCCGGCACCGGACGTCACGTGGTCGTTCAACCACTTCCCTCTGAGCAGCGATCACGCGAGCGAGCGCAGTCGCACGGACGCGAGCGCCGACCTGCGCATCAGGCGAGCGGAGCGCAGCGATGCCGGTGTCTACACGATCACGGTGAAGAACGACACGGGAACGGACTCCGCCAGCGCCTCCGTCATCGTCGTCGGTAGGTGGCGCGACGGTCGCTAGAACGCACAGTCCTTATGCCTCGTGTGTTGCGTTCGCATTAGAAAGATATGCGCGCGCGCCCGTGCGTGCGGGGGTGCGTGTGTGTGTGTGTGTGTGTGTGCGTCTGTACGGATGTGTGTAATATGTTTGCGTATGCGCGTTGTATGTTATTTACTATATATATATACTATATACTATAGTATAATACTATTATATAATTATATACTATTATATATATAATAATAATAGTATATACTTATATAACAGCAGGGCTACTTACTATACGTTCTCGAGGATCTGCACTCAAGTGAACTGCTAATGACTTATTATTTGAACTCAGGCAAACCCTCTACACCTGAGGGCCCACTAGATATCACCGATGTGACGAAGAGCTCAGTCAACCTACGTTGGCGCCTCCAGCGGACAGTGGTGGCATGGAACTATCATACTACTCGTGGAGAAACAGGTACCATCGCAATATTTTTACACATTAAAATTTTTTAATGCAATTAACACAAACAGCAAGCGCTTAATATATAAAAACAATAAAGCATATAATACTAGAGCACTCGGAGAGCACAGACCTCGCGCAAGGCAGCCTAATTCTTCCTGTGAAATGTGCTAAGCTCCACTCCTCACACAATTAATTACAGTGGAAAAATTAATTTAATTAATTAAGTAATTAATTAATTAATTGGATCCGGATCACCACCAAATGTAATCAATTCTAAGTTACCCCATTTCTGACTATCCTGAAAATTTTCTTAATTAATTAATAGTTAATTAATTAATGGATCCGGATCACCACCAAAATGTAATCAATTCTAAGTTACCCATTTCTGAACTATCCTGAAATTTTATTAATTAATGAATGAATTAATTAATTGGATCCAGATCACCACCAAAATCTCATCAATTCTAAGTAAGCCCATTTCTGACGTATCCTGAAAATTTTATGACAATCCGTCCATAACTTTTTCAGTTAGTCTGGTACACAAACCCACAAACCCACAAACCCACAAACCCACAAACCCACAACACAACAAAACAAAACAGTCAAACACACGCCGTGAAAACAATAAACTGGTAATATATAAAAGCAATACAAGCAACATGTTATCTAAACATAACTGAACGTGAGACTCCTCTATAGAGAGTTACGTTTATATTGTGAGCTCCCTTTGCATTATAGCGAAACACGTTAATGTGCCTCATCATACCTCAATACATATGTTACCTACTGTTGCCAAATTTAACATTTTGTTTGTCTGCTCACAGGACCTCGTCCGTGGCACATGGACCGAGGCCGGCAGGGGAAACTCTTGCCAGCTGAAGGTGGGGAAGCTCGATAACAACAAGGAGTACCTGTTCCGCGTGAGGGCTGTCAACTCAGAGGGAGAGTCGGAGCCGCTGGTGGCGAAGGCTCCGATCCTAGCCAAGAACCCATACGGTACTCGCCCGCGTGCCTACGCAGTTCGTATAGCGCCCTCCCTGCAACCGCTGTCAAACGTTTTTAGGCAGCTTCAGTGCGGTATTTTATTAGCGATGGCAAACGCTCCTATTGAAGTCATTTCTTTTGGGTAACTGGAAATAGTTCATAGGAATTTCTGTTTAATAGGTATATTACGTGAAACTGAATGCATCGTAGTAAATGGCTTTACGCAGCCCACAACATTGCGAAGTTTGCGTGTACCTATAGCGTCAATGAAGTTGGCGTCTATCTATATATCGTCACTAAAGTGAGGCGTATGATTACGTGCGCCACAGTCGACACTTCACGCTACAAAGATTTCATTCACGTGCACGTATGAGCTTCAGTGTGAGAGTGGTTGTTACCACCTGCTAGCTAACATATTTTCTGTGCTTCTAGACGAGCCGGATCCACCGGGCGCTCCTGAGATCGTAGACTGGGGTGCTAACCACGCCGACCTCAAGTGGACACCTCCCAAGCACGACGGAGGCACGCCTCTCACCGGCTACAGCGTGGAGAAGAAAGGTACGCTTGTTGTAAACGCTTGCTAGATGTGGGGATGTGAACTCTAAGGAAACGCAGGTTATGCACAAGCGCATGTATTGTCGTAACAGTTACCCGTGGAGATACAGGCACAGAGTGCAACCACGCTGTCAGATTTTTATATTTTGGTCCTCTAGTAAGAAATTAATAGCGCAGCCTGGCCAACTAAGCACTGATTTGGGTAATTAAACATTGTGAGGGTTTCCTACCTTTAAACCTCTCCCTCGTTGGTGCACATGAACTCTGATACGTGGCCACGGAGTCACCTGCCTACAATCAACCATGTCAACCTTGGCGATATTGTTTCGCGTGTAGATAAATACAGCGCCGGATGGAACAAGTCTCTCGACACTCCTCCGTCGCACACACACGGCACCGTGCGCGGGCTGAGAGAGAACCTAGAGTATCAGTTCCGTGTAAAGGCCGTCAACATCGCTGGACCAAGTGCTCCGAGCGAGTCAACGCGCACCCTGGTGGCCAAGCCCCGATACCGTACGCTGATATATAACCGCATATATAGATGGTCATTAGAATAGGTCTTATATAGAACATTGTCAACGATCTAGAGTTTTTGTGATAACAGAATGAAGTTAATATTAATAAATTATTTTATAGATGTAGTATTAATAAGAACTACAGTTTTTGTAATCGGCTATTATTATTACTTTGTGTGCTATGTTGTTGTTGTTGTTGTTGTTGTTTGTGCGTGCGTGCGTGCGTGCGTGTGTGTATAATATAGGATGTAGATGGATCACCTACGTAAAAAGCCATGACATAGAATCTCGTACCGGTGCGCGTTCGCTGACGCGTGAATCGATCGATGTTTTAATTAACCGCTGCGTTTCACTGCGTGCAGTCGCGCCGTCGATCGAGCGCGGTGCGATGCGCAGCATCAAGCTGAAGGTCGGACAGCCGTTCACGCTGTCGGTGCCGTACGCCGCCGAGCCCGAGCCCGAGGTGACATGGAGCAGGGACGGAGAGACGGTCGCCGCCTCGGACACGGTCAGCGTCATGCAGGTGACCAACTCGGCCTCGCTGCAGAATACGAGCGCCCGCAGGACGGACTCCGGCACGTACACGGTGGCTCTGGTCAACAGCAGCGGTCGCGAGACGGCGTCTGCGACCGTCACGGTGACAGGTAGGCGCGAACACTGATGTACATATAACCATATATATAATATAGGGTTATACATAGATCAGTAGCCCCGATGCGGACACACGTCTATATATACGGACGTTGTTATGTTATTCACCGCCTAAAATACCGATGAAGAGCACGTACGCAACGTTGATACGTATATAAAATAACACTTTAAAATTAAATATTTATATATAAAATAAAAATTGTTCATGCCATTGAATTTTTTAAATTATTGAATACATTTTGAATATATTTTAAATATTTAATTACTAATCTTTCATATATCAACAATTATCATTGAACTATTAAAATAGTCCATTCGATCGTTCACTCAGTAGAAGTTGATCGTGTCGGTTGCGTTTAACTGTAACATTTCCGTGAGCGCATCTAGCTAAAGTAGGTTAGGTAAAGTTAGTAAGTAGTTTGGTAATAGGTTTATCACTTTAATTAATGTTGCAGATCGACCTAGCAAGCCCATAGCACCGCTGGTCGTCTCTGACGTCACCAAGGAAACTGTTGTTCTCTCTTGGAAAGCGCCGGAAGACGATGGCGGCGAACCAATCACGTGAGTCTGTTGTTCTTTTGTAAAAAAGCGAGGATTAGAGCTATGTGTGCTTGGTATCCGGTGTGTATTGGCTTGGTCGTCATATTGTGACCTGGAACGGAACTTAGCGCGGCCCGATCATAGATAATGCCTGTGCGCGTGCGTGCGTGCGTGCGTATGCGTGTGTGTGAGCGTGCGTGCGTGCGTATATGAATATATATATATCAATGTCTGTAACCATTCCCTGCCTCCGCAGTGCATACACGGTCGAGATAAAGGACACGAAGAAGTCTAGCTGGACAACGGTCAGCAAGACGGTCAGCACCACCACCTACCAGGTGACCCGACTGACGGAGAAAGCTCAGTACGACTTCCGGGTCACGGCCGAGAACATTTGTGGGTTGAGCGAACCCCTCACCACCACAGAACCAATGCTCGTGAAAAACCCATTCGGTAAGACACCAGTATTAGTAATATAAGTATTAGGCTTTTAGAAATATTAGTATTTAAAAAATGTATACACTCATGTTGTAACTATATTTGAAAACATGTAGTACACATAAATCTGTATACTGTTTATCGTGAATTTACACCGGAGTCGTGAACTCTTCTAGACGAACCCCAGAAACCGGGAAGACCTTCCATCAAAGAGGCTGACACGAATCGAATGGATATCGTATGGACGCCACCTTCCAGCGATGGAGGAAGCCCCATCACCGGCTACAGCGTGGAGAGAAAGGACGCCCACAGCGTTCGATGGGTTAACGTCACAAGACATCCTATTAAGGTAATAGCACTATAACGTATAAATAATATATTAATTATATTGTAATAAAAAAAAACTTTCTTCATTAATTAATAAAGATATTTAATTATTATAATTTTTATTATTATATTTATTAAAAAATAATTATCAATTTATAATTATTAAAATCAATTAGAACAAAAGGAGATTTCAAACGGATTTCCTAATTAAACACAAGTTATTAGACCAGCTTCACCTCTCATATGAATGCCCTTATATCAAGTAATTCGCATGTATATAAGGAATTACTCTTCCTACGCCATGACAACAATTTGGCTTAACTCGAAGCCTGGGTTTCTGATGCACTTGGTACAGGAGCTGGAGTTCTCGGACACTAGCGTGAAGGAGGGAGCGGAGTATCAATACAGGATTATAGCTATCAACGCTGCTGGTCCCAGCCAGCCGAGCAGCCCGTCTCACACGGGCGTTGCTAAGCCACCTTACGGTAAAGAGTCTCCGTAAATAGCCATGGAAATCATATACAATCGTGTGGCTTTCCGCTAAACTTTAGCAATTTGATCAAAAATGAATCTGAAAAATCAAATAAAAATAAACCCCTTCACAAACACGCATAATATATATGGTGCTGTCCTGTTGTGTGATGTGGTGCGCCGTGCGTGCGTGCGTGCGCGTGCGTGCGTGCGTTCGCGTGCGTGCGTGCGTGCGTGCGTGCGTGCGTGCGTGCGTGCGTGCGTGAGTGTGTGTGTGTATATATATATATATACTGGGTGTGTTTTTCAGTTGCACCAGGTCAACCTGGCACCCCACTGATAGACTTTGTGGATGAAAGTCACGTGGAGATAAGTTGGAAAGCACCTAGAGATGATGGTGGCGCCCCCATCCTAAACTACCTGGTGGAAGGCAAAGAAAGGTAAGCCAATTTAGTTTTATACGATTCACCCTTTTGCAATATATCACTGTTCATGTGACTATATCACCATACGTTACGTTATACCCGTTGTTATATGCCACAGTTATCGAGTGATGGTTTAAACAATTCTTATGAATTTGTGAAATAAATGACAAGAACTTAAATTGCTATTATTTGCCTTTTGTTGCTCACTCATGATATCTAATGGAATGCCACCGCCCCACGTATAATCGTGAATGTGTAATAGACTACATATACGTACACTCTACTGACACAGCATTGGTATACGTCACTCACTGCTCATCCGTTGCAGGTACGTCTCATACTGGTCGAAGATGCTCAACGTGCCAGCAGATCATACGAAGGCGTCCATCTTGGATGTGGTCGTTGGCAGATCGTACGTGTATCGCGTGACGGCCGTCAACAAGGCAGGGCCCGGAGCTCCGAGCGACTCGTCCGAGAGCGTCGAAGTCAAGCCTAAATTCCGTAAGTTGACCCGAGTTACGTCGCGAGATTTAGTTGACCGGAGTTACGTAACAGGATTAAGTTGACAGAGTTACGTCAGGAGATTAAGCTGATTTGAGTTACGGCACTAGATTAGGTTGAACCGAATTACGTCACGAGATTATGTTGATCAGCGCTACGTCACGAGATTAAGTTGACCGTGGTTACTGCACGAGAAGTGAAAGTGAGAGTGAAGCGTGGTTGCGCTCGAGCGTAGAGCTGTCCTGTCTGGCATGAGCTGCACTTCGTGCGCATGTAAGCGATCGCTTAATTTGTAACATCGGGTGATATATGCAACGTTAATAACACTGCTGCTTTTGTTGACATCTCACAGTTGCACCCTTCATCAACAAACACGCCATGAGCGACATCAGACTAAAGGTTGGCAAGACGATTCAGTTCGAAGTACCTATAGGTGGAGAGCCGCCTCCAGAGGTGACCTGGTCCATCAATGGGCAGACAGTTAGCCCTTCACTGAGAACGTCCGTAAAAACTACCGACAAGGTAAAATGTTAATTAACAATTACTGTAGTCTAGTTTCTATTCAACCCAGATTTACTGTTACTCGTTAACACAAATGGTAGCATGATAGTACATACTACAAATTTCGCGAGTCCGTAAAGTCAAGTGTTTTAGTTTAGGTTCTATGTGTCTATTTTAGTTAGAATGATCATAGTCCTTTTACATTGCTGATTAGGCTACTGGTATTTATTTGATTTTTTTTTCTTGCAGTCTACGACCTTTGTCACGAAACTGGCAGAGAGAGCAGACAGTGGGGCGTATACACTTACAGTGAAGAACGATTCTGGAACGGAAAGTCACAGCGCTAAGGTCACCGTTTTGGGTGAGACAGAATTGATTAGACTATTGTAGATTTGATCGTAGTTATGCACACTGTTCATAGTATATTCATGTTAATGTTAAAATGTTAAGATCTATGTATAATGCCCCGCGCATCTACGTAAGTGCGTTACACTGGCACTGAGCTTACGTAAATGGTGAAAATGCCGATTTAACTAGGACACTTCTCACTTTTCACATCTCAGGCAAACCGTCGAAGCCTCAGGGTCCGCTAGACGTCTGCGATGTTACTCCCGAGACGGTAATGTTGCTATGGAGACCACCCGAGGATAATGGTGGCACTAAGATCAAAAACTACCTCGTGGAGAAGTGTGACGTTGCACGCGGCCACTGGCAGCGGGTCGGGGATACGAACGAGTGTACGATCCAGGTAAGGTCGTTGTCGCTAGGTGGTAGGTTATTGTTGAGGGAAGGTTATTGTTGGTTGGTTGAAAATTCATTGTTGGTGGGTTGAAAGGTTATTGTTAGTAGGGTAGAAGGTTATTGTTGGTGGGTTGAAAATTCATTGTTGGTGGGTTGAAAGGTTATTGTTAGTAGGGTAG